GAATCGACTACACTGGCGATTTCGACATCGAATATCGACTTGGGCTATACTCGGCAAGTTACATCCAACCCACAGTAGTTCGAGATGCTGATCTCGAGTGCTGGTAATTCCTTTACGGTTGGTGGCAACCACCGTATTCCTATCGAGGACAACGGCGATGTCAAGATGAAAATCACGGACACTAATCAAAACGAAGGAGAAGTCAACGTGCTATATGCAACACAGCTGAAGCTTAATCTGCTGTGTTTGCTAGGCCGTTGGAGATGATTTCAAAATCAACTCCCCAGCTGCAAGAAATGCGTTCGGTTCTTTGATTACCGAACAGAGTTCGAAGCCAACACTGGTGAAACAACACGCCCCTACCAGTTTTAAGTAAGTACGACAACCCCAAGCAAAGTAGCTCACGTGGACACTTCAGGTAAGCCTGATAATTCCCTACATTGGCACAAACAAATGGGTTATTCTAACTTCCGTTTTATGCTGGTGCTGGCTAAAACCAGCTGTGTCACGGACATGGACCTGAAGAACTTTGGTCCCGATAAAGGCTACATTTATTCTCCTTGTACCTACGTTAAGGCTCTTCATAAACTATTCAATAAACGTACCGTTGAAAGGGTCATGTTCCATCTTGAAAAGGCTCATTCAGCTTATATGGTCTCAAGCAGGTACCACGAACCTTGTATCTTGTCCTGAGCCCTTTCCTTTTAACCATGAAGTTTCCCAGACTCATTCAAGGTTAATTTGTCATCGTTGGAGTTGTGGATGGAGCTACGTGCTATATTCTGGTTTATGTGGACTACCTTCTCGTCATTGCCCCTACGCTTGGCATCATCACGAAGATAAAGGACGCTCTCAAGAAGCGCTTCAAAACATATGACCTAGGTGAAGTTTAGTAGGTTAATCGTACGCAACCATACGGACCGAACCACCCATCTACCAAATGAAGTACGTTACCGCATCTCGAAGCACACCCGGTCGGAACACCAACTGATCTCAGTGTGAATATGACAGAAGTCATGTGCTCCCAAACATCAGACGAATAAAATGAGATGAAAGCGATCCCGTACAGAGAGGCACTTAATAGCTTTATATATTTAAAGATGGGGGCTAGGCCTGATCTAGCATACTTCCTACAAGAAGTTAGTCGATTCCTGGCAAATCCCGGAAACCCTCACTGGTATGTCGTTACAAGAGGCTTGAAGTACTTGAACGGTATGCTCAACCCAGGCATCATTCTTGGTGGAAACCAAAACCAAGAGCAAGTTAAGTAAAGCACTGTCTGACTACGTACTCAGACGCAGACTACCTCAATTACCCGGATACACGGCGAGCTGTGGGAGGCTACACCATAATCATGTGTGGAGGCCCAATTTCTTGGCAATCTAGGAAACACCACACCGCAGTTCTGTCCACAACGGAGGCTGAATACATTGCTCTATGCCCTGCATGCAAGAACTTCTTTCTTAAAGCATCTCTTAGTTGAACTAAAACACAAAAGCCCAGAAGCTATTAGCCTGTTTGAGCAAAACAAAAGCAGTATCAAACTGTCCTACAACCCAGCAATGCAGGGCAGAAACAAACACATTGGCATCCGGAATCACTTTGTACAAGAAAAGTAAGATCGAAAAGAATTTGAAATTCGATTCTGCAATACCAAAGATATGGTGGCTGACATTCACAAAGTCACTATCAAAGCCACTGTTTAAAAATCTACTATGTAAGACACTCAAACAGAAACATCAAGAATAACACACTTTAAAAAATATATATACAAATATCAGTACAGCTTCACTGGAATACAATCCTAGTTTGAATAACATTCGTGCAACATTTATTCAAT